ACACCTCGCTTCCTTGGCAGCCAAGTAACTGCTTCGTGTGGTGCATATGCTTCCCCGATGCGTTCCCTCCTTATCGTAATCGCTGCCTTTAAACTGGTACGTGAACTCCCTTAGCCCTAAAAGTTGGCAAAAACGTTGCTGGGACGAGCTAGATCAAGTTACAGACAAAAAGCAACAGTGTTTCCACATAGGTTGCACCTCATCATTAGCGTTCTTTTGCAACTTTTAAGGCTCACAACTTTCTTACAAAGTTCACGTAGCAGTTTTAGTGTCCATATTTGTAATCAGCGTCCAAGACTATCGATGTACCTAGGTCTCCTTTCAAAGTTCCATGGGAATTTTAAAACTCCCTTGTGAGACACAATTCTTTTGGGTGGTTGGTGCCTAACTCTTCTTGCTGAAAAAATTCAATTAGTGGCTTTTCTCCTTGTGAGTGCGAACTTACATATTAACATGTCTGTTCCACTACTTCTTTAACGTTGGATAATGAACGCACTTAAAGCAACAGTCCAGGGAGGGTTTCAACCAATTCAATCCTGAGGTGTGGAAGCATGCCCCAGCCCAAGTAAAGTTCATAGGAACTGTCACTGAATTAAAAACTTACCTTTGAAATGCGTAGGAAGGGCTCGAACTTCTTCGAAAAGGGCGGGTCCACCGAGCCTCGGTGGAGCCGCCCCTTGCTGCTGTGAAGAGCGCGTAGTTGATTGGCGGTCGTTGCGGGACCGCCGGGACTATTTGAGGTCGATCCTTTAAAGCAATCGATGTAGTGATGCCGACAACGCTGAATTTCTACATTTTTTCCTTCTACCTTCTACCTTCAAAACATGAAACGATCCCATTATTGCGCCCCAATTGCAATAGCTGGCTACTTGCCAGCAATTGCCAGCTATTGCAATTGGGGCGCATTTACTGCGGGCATGTTCATACAACTCGTCCAACGAGCGTCTTCCTCCATTGCTAAGTGGCGAGGGGGAGTCCCTGTCTAAGTCCCTGTTCGACGTTTTTTTTTTTTTCTTTCATTATTGGTCAACTTTCACCTACAACTTCATTATCGGTGGTTTTGCCCGCGAATTCGTTCTTGGACTGTTGCTTTAATCGACAATTAGGCCGCGTTCATAGTTCGCGACTCCGGAGATTAGGATAGTACGCGACAATGAAAAACATATGTATTGACGGGGAGATTAGGATAGTAGTAGAGTAGGAGATTGCGCTGACAAGATTAGATACGTATCGATTGAAATCGCCGGAGAGTAGTAGATTGCGATATTACGATAGTAGGATAGTAGTAGAGTAGGAGATTAGGATAGTAGTAGATTAGGATAGTGCGCTGACAAGATTAGATATGTATTGATCTATTCGCTTGAAGTCGCCCAATCTACTACTCTCCAGCGATTTCAATCGATACGTATCCAATCTTGTCAGCGCAATCTCCTACTATCCTAATATCCTATCGCCTACTATCCTAATCTCCCGAGTCGCGAACTATGAACGCGGCCTTTCAAATTCGGCGTGGTAAGCAAGTAAATTTCTCTGAAGCTTCGTCGATAAGCTTCCCTGTTGCTCATGGACATATCGCAAAGATGGCTTTCATTTTTGTTGTTTACTCCATTTGGTCGTAGACGAATTTCCTGGAACGATAAGTTTTTCTATGTTCTACTTGGATAATGTGTCTAGATATTATTTTCAGGAATGAGATCCAAAGGCAAAGATTGCTCTGAACATCCATTCAAACAGGTGAGAAATGTTTATCGGTTTGCGCACTCTCTTTGAGCAAAGGCTTACTGATTGAAAGGCTTTCCTTCCTTGGAAAGTAACTACACGCTTTGTTTTTTCAGAACGTTGCTGTGACTGATGGAGCATCAGGAGTCAAGCATTGTAATGAATTAACTAGAGACACGGACGGTAAATTAGTTAGCAGTGTTCTGTTCTAGGACGAACTCTCATTCTTGTTTTCTCGCAATCTCGCCATTTTTTGTTCAGTTCTATCTCCCTCTTCCTCATCCCAACCGCCATCATCAAATGGAAGCGATTGGACTGCCGGTCAGGATGGTGTTCTCTCTCCGAAAGCTGACGAAATTCGACAAAAATATAGGAACTCGCTGCTGGTCGGTGCCTGTTCAGAAGAATGCCTAATCGTTTAAAATTCTGCTTCAGAAGATCTGTTGTATGAATCAGTTCAAGTTTATCGTGGAAATTATCACTGTTATTAGGAGAAAACACCGAAGATCTTTATCGAACGGCTGAAGAAAGAAGGTTCTCTCCAGCTGGAAAATCTCACGGTTCTTGAATGGCAGTTGGTCAATTACAATCCGTCTGTCTTCAGTGTGTTCGTGGATATACCTGGTGAGTTCCTTGCTTTATTTAAAACTATCACATGGAAATTCACGAATAAAAAAAAAAATTATCTCAGCCTTTTGTTCACAGTAAATGCACTTGTACTTGCTACCTACTTCTTGTGACTGTCAGTCCACTCTATGAACATCGACTTAGGTCAGGGGTGTGGGTACTTAGGACAGAACGCGACTTTTTCGCTCATCGCAACGCGACATCGCGCGGCAGGCTGGCGCACCCGCAGCGAAAACAACTACGGTATGGAAGAACGCGCGATTGGAGCAGCTTTTTTGCATGCGTGAATTTGTAAGTTTCTGATTCCTTACTTGCCGCGCTCACACCCATTGTATTGATAAATGCGGTGAATCACTAATTCTGTCTCATTATTGAAAACGTTTTGTGACTTACACGATTCCGGGCGATGCCACACAAATGGTGTTTTACGAATTATCGGTGAACGAGGGTTTAATAGTGTCGCTTGTGCTTGCATTTTGTGGGTTCATATTGTTGTATAGACATCTGCATAAGGGTATAACATCTTTTACGGAACGCTTCTGTCCTCATCACGGATATGATACTCATTTTTGACGCTGGCGCCACAACTGATTCCCACTAAATTCGCTGTAAACTTCTGTATAGGGGTTATTCGGGGTCCTGATTTGTTGTTAGCGCTATTCGGCGCCTGCTTCCTGCTCGTCTGCGCCCTCGCACTAATTAGATCGCAATAGGACTAAGCCTTTGAGTAGTGTAGGGCTCCAAAGTGGGTAGGGCCATTCCCCTGTGGTCTGACACACTCCAACTTTTGCCACACGGTGCGTGGTTTACCCACTCCGGAGTTTCACTCCCCTCCCCTAAGCTTAGTCGTAGGCGCTGTAGGTGAGAAAGCTAGTAAAGCAGAAAGTATGCGTTAAACAGCACGAATGTGAAAAATGAGTGTCATATTCATGATCAGGGCCCCAAATAACCCCTATGCAGAAGTTTACAGTCGTCTCATCAAACGTCCATCAACCATTCCTCTTCCAGGTTCTCCAGAAGCTCTACCATCCATCTCTGCAAAAATAACCTACCTCCCTCTTCACTGCTAGTTAGCGGTCCACTTCTGGTTACCATTTCCTCGTTCATTATCAAATCCATGGCTATTAAGCTTCAAACTCCTTGTCGCAATCAAAGCCGACACAAATATCGCGCTCCAATCGCGCGTTCTTCCATACCGTAGTTGTTTTCGCTGCGGGTGCGCCAGCCTGCCGCGCGATGTCGCGTTGCGAAGAGCGAAAAAGTCGCGTTCTGTCCTAAGTGCCCACACCCTACCCTTTGGATACGAAAAGAGGTGTGCAATCGAGCGATTTCGCCAGCTAATCGGCTGGCATCAAGCGTCGCGCCGCAAAATAGACGTTACACGATGCGAAATCGAACTTTGCCCAGCGAACTCAATTTATGTCTTTAAAGTGGGGGGGGGCCACCAATTTTTAAAAAAAAGGCCCGCCACTTTCAAGCAGTTGTTGAGTCGCTGGTACATCGTTCGACTCGCTGGCGCAAAGTTCGATTCGCTGGTGCAACGTTCGATTCGCTGGCGCAACGCTCGGATCCAGCGATTCGCTAGCGAATCGCTCGATTCGCAAACTATGACATCGGCCTAGAGAAGCCTCACTGGTTTGTACATGATAAAATTTTCAGATGATCCTGTTGCAAAAGTGAAAATGTTACGCGAAGTAGATCCTGAACAGCTGGATATTACGGGTAAATCAGGAAATCTGCGGCATGCCTTTTGATGAGGAGTTTTCCTACCTAACCACTAGTCAGCTTGTATTCTCTCGTACGAAGGAGGATGTGAGGGCGGTATGTTCACTTTTGTTCATTTATTTACGGCTGGTGTAGGGACGAATTATTAATTGAAATCGAGCATTTTTTACTAATCCGAATTTGTATACTTACTAGAAATTTATTTTCATTCATTTGTTGCCATCTGATGACGGGAAGGAGAAAAAGGTGGGCCATTTAGTGTGCTGTCATGGCGTTTCTCCCACCGCGATGCTTCATTTTATGTGAAGAGGAGGGCACTCAGAACGAAGAAAGGATTCTTTCTATTAGCAACCGTCTGAAGTGAGTTGCACCTGTTTGTACTAATATCTGTCAGGGTCAGGTCATACTTTTTGCGGTTCGGTTTGCAATTATTGTGCAGTAGATATGTATCGGCGATCAAGACGCATCTACTTCAAGAAAAAAAGCGCGATTGCGCGAGCGAAAAGTTTAAGAAGCGTTTTCGCTGCCGTTTTCGTTTTTATTTCATCTTTTGTGCTTTATTTGAAAAATTGATTTTTCCTCAAGTTGGCGTAGGTTTCAATCCATAGATTAAAGCACTGTCTCGGTTCTGTGGTTTTGGATCTGAATTCGTTTTTTGTTCCCGTAGCCGTTACCATGTCACTCCCATGATCCCACATCTTTTGTGTGAACTCTCCCCTTTTTTGGAATCTGCTTACACTTTCAGTTTTTAGCAAGCTTGAAAGGTTCATGAAAGGTGAAAAAAGTAATAAATTTATACTGTACTTAACTTTGAGGGTGGTAATAAGTCATTCGCAAGAATAGCCAATGCATTCATCGTTATTGTAACTCTTGATGAAAGTCGCGGTCGTGAATATTTTAAACCTGAGAGAATGTCTCAGGTACGCTGTGGCGAATGGTCCTCAGTCGGAAGCTCTTAACATAAGGCCAGGTGATCCTTTGGTCGGTGTTCGTATGGGTGTGTTCATGCGCGTGGCTGTGTTACAGGGTGACGTGAGTTAATTTTAATTTCGTCACTGATCTTACCCTAAGGTTCCTGAAAATGAAGCAAAATTCCTCCTGATTAACTATTACTTATTGGCATTAAGAAGCTCTAGGCATTTCTGTGAATGTGCCCGTTGGTTAAATTAATTGGATCATGAAACCACCACACTAACTGAACCAAGGCGATTTGAGCTACAATGTGTACTCATCAATTTTCTACTCTTTCGCTATAATGGTATTTTTTGCAAATTTCTTTTCCTCGGAGAACGTGTCTGCCTTGATTACAACGCGATATATAGCTTCGAACGTGACGATTTGTTCCCTTTGCCTGAGGAGTTTTCCGTTGATGCGCTACCAACGAATGCCTTCTTGGCGAGGGTTCGTGGCACACATTATGTGTATCCTGTAAGTCTTCCATGACTTCTTTTTTTCTGTGAACCACTACGGGGAAAGCGGATGCGGCGTTCATACCGTAAGCTGCTAGTAATCAGTATGAAAGCGAGGTCCAAATTTGAGATAAGCAAGAGCAATTTGGAGATTAGTAATATAATACTTGGACATTCGGCATTGACGAATTGGTACACTTCTAATCAGTCTGAAAGGAGGCCAGGGAAAGTAGGGTGATGGGCTGCTTAATTCATCATTTCCAATATTCGTACTAATAGAACAATGTAGTAAGGAAGATAATCTTTCAAAGGATGTGTGGTTTTGGTGTCTCGATGTTGTAGGCTTATATCAGACGGCTGGCAGTACTTGTAGGGAGTCCATAATGAAGCATTGATCCTTACTAACTTCCTCAAATTATTAATCAACATTAAAACTTAGAGGGCCGGTGTTTCTCGCATCTCCTGAGACACACTGCGTAACGTAGTGGGCCGGTGTTCTGCGCATCTCTGAAACACACGTAATGCCAAATAAACTAAGCTAAACTCCTTTCCCTCGTGGCCGCATGTACCACATAGTACCCCGCAGAGCACGCAGTGTGCTATCGTATACTAGTTTGATTCCCAGGGAGGAGAGTTCTAGCTGTAAAGTAGTGACATTGATGCATTACACACACATGATGTTGTTCTTTATAGGACATGTACGAAGCAGTAAATAATGAAGTGTGCAAGACAAACTACAATGAAGGAGTGGTCCCATTGGTGACATGTGCCATCTACGGTAGAGCTCCTGTGAGTTTTTTCATCAAATCTTGCATAAGACGTCATGATGTTACAGTAGTTTACAAATACCGTATCCTCCAAGAGCTACTGGGTTCTCCTTCCCCGGATTATTAGAGTTTGCCACCCATTTTCGCTCACCTTCTTGTGTGAACATATTGTTCTAAGGGGTAAACGTGGCGAGCCCCAGAGAATCCGTTTTCTATTTCTATTAGCAGTTTGTTTCTCGATTAATTTCTCTTTCATACCCATTGGGCATTGGGTGTAGTTTGCTAGTACAGAAAGTAGTGCTAGTGCTAGTAGTGCTTTCCCGCTCTTTGTAGCGCAAAACTTCTTCCTCTGCGGGAAGCACAGGTCCACGCCTGATCATTGGTGAACCGACAGGATGGGGCATAAATATACTGGACAAGTAATTGTTTTCCTCTTCGAACCGGAAAGTCGAACGGGATATTCAAGTACAGCGGCGTTAGAACATATACTTCTAAACAGTTAAGATTTCTTATTCAGATGGCTGCCTTTACCGTACAAAAACTGACCCTTGCCCGCATGACATCCTTCAAAACTTCATCTCATACTTTTTGAAGAGCAGCTGTTAGCGATCCATTCAAACTGTGTTGTTTCGCGCACTTCTTCAGCTTCAATATCGACCACAAAAATAATCCGCTACATTCAAATCGGAGGTTTGGCTGGCCAATCTTTGTGCAGCCCAAAGTCGGACAAATGGGCTCTGCAGCAGACTTTCACAAAATTCAATCCATGAGCCGGTATACCGCCTTGCTAGCGAATCAACTCGTTATAACTTGTGGAAGCGACGAGAGCTCTCTCCAGAAGTGCTATTTTGGATATTGTTTGACTTAAGATTTTACTCCCACACGGGCGAAAACCAACTGAGATGAAGAAATCGCGGTTGCTCAGGTTCACTCATCGCTGAGCTAGGAGGTTGTATTTGATTTCCGCTGTTCCTGCTCTAGTTTCTTCGGAACTCCTAGTAATCAGTTGAATTTTCTCGAATGAAGGCATGATCGTCGTTAAAAATGAAAGGCTTTTCTCGTCGGTGTACATTCGGAGCCCCTTTCGCGGCCCGTCGGTAGTTGTACCTCTCTTCCTCCTCTCTTCCTTATCCTATCTGAGGAATCTTGTTGTTTGATGATATTTGTACGCGTTGTATTCTATTTTTGCAGAGCCTCTGGCACCCATTTTCGATATTGTCTTAAACCTGCAGCCAATTTTATTGTGGTTCTAACCATGTCGTGGCGGATACGCTTTTTGAAAATATTCTCAACCACCTTTCGAGTTCCGTATCTGATCGACCTCTATTGCTAATGACAGTAGCGCTCTAGTGTTGGCTAACGCAGTAGCGCTCAAAAGTGTTCGCCGAAAAGATTTTCAGTGCATTATTCATTCTCGCTGGACCAACTTCCTCCAAATACTGATATACTATGTCTTCTAGTGTTTTTATATCCTCAACTCTTGAAGAATTTACTGCTAATGGATACTTCACAAGAAAATTTTTTCGAGGTTACCATTGATTTTTTTCCTGGCAAAAAAAGAGCACGAAAAACCGTTTCGGCGACCCACTTGACCGTTATCTGGTGTGTGGTACTGGCAATACGAGTCGTAACAAACCGTCTAAGAAGAGCAATCTTTTGGATATACATAGCAGATTTCGCAGAGAACCAACCCACCAGCTCGTGGGTCTCTCGTTTCGGATTAAGTGGAGCCATTACCAAATGGCCGGCCCAATGGTCAGACTTCTTCACGAAAGCTCTGAAGCGAAAAGAATGAAGGACATCGTGTCCCTCGAGCGAGAAGGGTCCCACTGGACAACTCTTGCACGCGACAAGGGACGAATGAAGACGTTGCTGGCGCCCGCTCGAGCAATTCGATGATCAAGGGGAAAGTTGATACTGTTGATTCACAAAATAAAGATCATGAAACCATGAATCCATAGAATTATATGCAAAAGGGACACGCTAGCGAAATCTGAAGGTTTAGTCATGACTCTTGCTATTGTGTACAATAAAATGCATTGCTGTAATTCACGTCTGGTCCTCCATATCTATGCCCCTTCTCGCCCCGCCCGCCGCCTCCGCCCCTGTGCACTTCTAGCAGCGAGCTCGCATTGCGGTAAAGTCGTTTTCTGCCCTAGCGAACAGCCGTGGGCGTTCTGTAAACGGAAGGACATACTCACAACTCGGCGTACTGCCACACCAAATTACCGGAGTATGTTCTGATTTAAGTATAACACGTTGACGATGGCGTACAGCGCGGTTACAAGGCTTCTGTCAACCAAAGGGTGAGAGCGTAGCTGGAAAAGCACACACTTTGTGTCTTATTGGGACTAAGCCTTTTGAAGAAGATAAAGAAAGAGGAGATGCTGTGATAGTGTGCACTTGTGAGCTCCCAGACATCACTACAAAACGCTGAACCGCCAAGGCTCACGGTTGACAGATGTCCTGAGACCGTACAGCGCATGGTTTCACACATTTAGCACCGTGTGGCGCACACGCATAGTCGGTCGGACGACAGCAACGATCGTAACTGTCGCACAGCATTGGATGCGTATCGATCGTCGGACTTGCCTGAGTATTCGACGATTAGATGCAGTTAGACAGTCAGACAGTTGCGATCGTTGCTGTCGTTCCCGACTATGCGCGTTCACGTCCTGTGGGGCGTGCGCAAGTCGCCGCGCGCTTCACACCTAAATACAAGCCTCTCGAAGTGATTGGTGTGTCACCGAAATGACGTGGCCTGCTACGGGCACTTGTATGAGAGAGTCGTGTGCATAAGCTGTTTCTAACACTCTGTTGGATATCAGCAAAGCATGCTGGGAACAGCCTATCTGCGCAACTTTTATCAAGTGCGGTGGCCGCCACGTCATTTCCGGTGACACGCCCAATCATACTTCGAGATGTGGACTGTAAGTTTATTTTTCGCGCATGCGGTTTTTTTTCTGTCGCATTTTTTCTATCGTCGCATCATCTTTATCGTGACCATAAACGGTATTGTTGGTGGTTGAATATTACACGCCTTAGCGACGGTTTTCCAACCTCTCACTAGTTTTTTTTTTCCTTCCGGTTCATTCCTCGTTGTCTTCATAATCTTTTGAACATGAACATAAAGAGTAGCAAAAGTACGTGCAGACCTATGCGTATAACAGTATATACAGTAGCGGCCAAAAGTGTTCGCGGAAACGCTTTTTCGTTCATTTCATTTCCTCCCTCCACAGAACGATCTGAAGATTAGCTTGAAGCCTTTCGTTCGATGTCTAAACTCTTCAATAGTCAATGTTTGAAGGCTTCGAAAGGGCATGCGTAATAACTTCTTTTGAAGTACTCTTTTGAGTATGCTATACGAAGTTATTACGAAAAACGTTTCGGCGAACAATTTTGACCGTTACTGCATGTTTGTAACAGAACAACCGCATAAAAATAATATTTGAGGTCCCTACAGCGAGGGCAACTTAAACTTGCCTTTTCATTGCCAATCACGTATTTGATATACCTTCTACATCAATGTTCTTTCAGATAGTTTGGCACATGCGAATAATCATTAAAAATAATTTTCTACATCTGGGGCCGTATGCTATCCTCCCCGAAGGGGTTAGGGGACGAAAATTCCTTTAAATTTTCTCTGTCTTCCCAACTGGGATTACCCTGATAAAAGGCCTACATTAAATGTATGTATGTAGGTTAAAGTAAACATGCATTGAAAATGAAGAAACTACATCGTTCAAAGCAAATAAATTTAAAGGAAACTTTGCGTCACCTAGCTTCGGGGAAGGATAGCATACGGCCCTTAGTATTGCTTATTTACAGCTCAGAATCCACGGATTTGATATAAGGCGGCGGCGCCCGCAAAATCGCTTTGGTCATATGCGCAAAAATCCCAAAACCCGCTGTCGACAACCTAATTAATTTATATAGTTGTAATATGTTTTCTTGCAGTGTGCGCGTGTGCATAATATTGGGTTTGGTGCATAATATCGTAGCGCTTGCATTTTTCATTTTTGCACGCAAACGTTTTGTGAAGAAATTAAAAACATAAAACTAATCAGGGATGTCCACTTTGCCATTATTTACGACTTTTATCCTATTTTGCAGAAAGTCACTGGATTTGGAATTGAAAAAAAGATGTTTGGGCTCGCTCTCGAAGTCTTCATTATTTCGCAATTTGTACGACATGAATACGGTCTTAATTTGAGTGAAATATGTAGGGTTGGTTAGAGAGAGGTTCGATAAGAACAATGGATTCTGAAGAACTTTTGTTTTGACGGTATTTTTTTCTTTATGTGAACTGAAAAATAACAGCTGTCGAAATGCCGATTTCTGCCGTCTGGATTTTCCAACTTCTAAGCATTATGTATGAGTACAAATATAATTTTGAGGGAAATGACGAAGTAATTTTTGTAGAGCGAAAAAAGCACTTTCAAAAGGTATAGGCGATTTTTAGGGTTTCTCTTGTACTGATTGAATTTATACGCCCAAAAAAAACGCTACTTATGCACCAACCCAAATATATATCTGTGCGTGCAGTTTGGTACATATACGTAGCTTTAAAAAGTGTTCGCCGAAACGATTTTTAGTGCATTATTTTTTCTCGCTTGAGCAACGTCCTCCAAAGATTGATATACTGTGTTTTCTAGTGTTTTTATATCCCCAACTCTTGAAGAATCAGGATGCTTAAAAGAAATTTTTTTAGCAATCACCATTAGTTTTTTTTTTTCTGGCAACAAAGAAGCGAAGCACGAGAATCGTTTTGCCGAACACTTTAGCCGACTACTGTATGGTGTGAGTGTACAGCTTTTGTGCACGGTTAGTTTGGCAAGCATATTGACAGACGCTCTTCACTGAGCGCAGCTATCTAATCAAACTGTTAAAAATGTTAGGTGGATGTTATTAGTTGGTTTGTACCATAGCATGAACTTGCAACTTTACGCCTGTTGAAATTTGATCAAACCGAATATTACTATACCAGTTGGCGCCGCACGCATTGCGCGCACAACACAGATCTGCGGCGAATTTTGATGGTGCGACGAAAATTTTCAAATTTGGCTTGATACACCACGAATATCTGAATTCTCAGCTAAATTCTATCCGCTCCATCATCGACGGCTTTCAACCTCTTTTTCTTCGTCAACCATTATCCTCTTTTTCCCGGTCTCCGGACTGCTTCCGGACAATAAATCTCGTGGCAAACTCCGCCTACTTCGGTGCGTGCCCCGCCCACCAATAGCATTTGGCCCCCTTCCTTTCGCCGACCTCCTAACCGTTACCGTTTCTCCACTATCTTCATAATACTTCTGGGACCTGATATTCGATCGGAATTGCGACCCTTCGGGCGAGCCCGCCACTTTTGCCAAGCCCGCGAGCCACCGATGATAAAAAAAGCTTGGCCCAACTACTTACCACCCACCTCGTATTCATCTCTTCCCGGCGCTCCGCGACTTGTTGGAGCCCGAGGCTGTTGAATGTTCGTCGCTAAAACTGTGCGCTCTCGACAACTCTTGGCCAAGCCCCCACCCACTCGCTGACAGCTGGACTGTCACGTCCTCCATCTATCACCACTTCTATCCACCTTTTTCCGGCTCATTAAGACTTCCCCGACGCCCGAATTATGAGGGACTTGTAGAAAATGCTGTACACTTCAGAGCGCGCGCCCGCCCATTGTGGGCAGGCCTCCGCCCACGTCATGTATGCTGGAAACACCTTAGACATTGCTCCCTACACCAATTTGTTTTCTGCTCTGTAGGCTTTCTCCCAACCGAGTTATGAAATTTTTCATAAAGCACTGCTTTTTTGGAGAACGCCCCGCCCACCGGGGGTGGGTCTCCCTAATTCGATGTGACTTACCAATGCACACCTTTACCCACTTTTTGGCCCAGTTTCGAGGTCGTTTTCAATGAAAATCTGAAGTCTTCAGTACAAACTTCATTCGAGCGGCACTGCCCACCCCACTGATGGGCGGACCTCCGCTTAGCTGAGTTTCGTGAGTACCATTGCCCACACCTCCCCACTTTACCAGGTCCCTCCAGGCTACATTATGGACGAAGTTATACAAGCAGAGTCAACCCTGCGTTGCGCAGTTTTCAACGGCCACGTTGCGCAGTTTCGCCCGATTAGACACGTTCTCTCGCGCGAACATTCACACTCGCATGCTCGAGCCGTCTGCGTCTCCGCCCATACAGCGTGCGTTGAGGATCTCTCAACGTGCCGTTGCGAACTGCGCAACGCAGGGTTGACTCTGCTGGGGCGGATCCGAGGAGCTAGGGAATTTCGTGACAGACACAGAACGACAGACGACAGACAGACGAAGCGCTTTATAGTAAGTAGGATAGCATTTGCATTTGCTGTATTACTCAGGATCTTCTTACCATTGTGGACATTTGCTTATCAATGGATGGTTGGGTAAGCGAACGATTGATCAGAGCGAGTATTGCGGCACCGTTCGAGCCCGATCCACCAGTGAAGCTTTCTCCATATGAAGCCGACGAAATGTTGAAGGTAGGTTTGATACATGCTTTTATACGTTTGGTGCACCATGGTAAAGATTGACCACGAATCACACGTCATGACAGTTTACGCTACCTAAGTATTGAAGTATTTATATCGTAGTAATGTTACAGTGAAAAACGTTCAGGCCGGTCCCAGACTTTGCGAATCTGGCGAATCGCATGGGTACGAGCGATACGCCAGCGATTCGACAGTGGAGAATGTGGCGAGAGTCTTTCCTGTTTGCAGGTCTGGCCACCTTTCTGGGCTCGCGAGGGCATGAGACAGTGGCGATATGTGCATAAAAATGACTCTCGCCCCTTTCCCACACTGTCGAGGCGACGCTTCATCGTGCACCGATGATGCATTATTGAAACCGCTTGCGCTTAGCTTGCACCCCGCGATATGTTGATTTGAAACTCTGACACCGACCTTTTGAGTATCAATTCGCTTTTTCTCGATGGCTGTGAAAAACGAGATAAGCCTTGAAGTTCGGTAACAGATTTCTTTAGGAGAGCTTCCCACGAGATTGTTATGTAGACTTTATTGGCTTGACGTTTCAGCGGGTTCGCCTTCTTCAGAGCCTGAAAGGAGCGAAGCAAAACGGTTTTGTTCTCGAATTTCAGTAGGATAGTGGAGGCGTTTGGTCGGGTAGTCATAAATTGCTTCGATCCTTTCAGGCTCTGAAGAAGGCGACCCCGCCGAAACGTAAGCCAATAAAGTCTGCTTAACAACCTCGTGGAGAGCTTACAGAAGATATCAGCCATCAATATATCATGCCGAGGTTCTTGCAAAGCCTTGACTTTGGATGAAGCAGTTATATCGAGAACCCGATAGTGCTCTGGGAATGTTAATAATCATTCTAACTCTCACCATCACCATTCACGAGTTTACCATGGCAAATGTCCTATTTAATCAGAATTTGCGAATTTTCTTCGTTTCGCCTAACTTCTGACGTTCAGGATCGCAAACGCAGCAGAAGTAGCTCCGTGTTATCTGTTCTGACACGGTGAATGCTGATGAAGTAGATGTTCGAGTAAAGAGTCGAAAAAAGAATATAGTTTGCGGAAATTGTGGCACGGAGGTTGCAGCAAGAATAGAACCAAAAGTCAAGAGGAGAGGACCCAAGGTAAACTTGCCGGAAGAAGTTTCACTATCAAAACCATCGGATAGGGATCACTCGGAGGTCGGTTAATGAAGAGCTTCCAGTTGATGGCTACTGAATTTCTTTATTTAATGGGTCGAAATTGCTTTATTTTGTTTGTGTATAGGATGCTGCCACTAGCGGCGCCGACTGTCACCGTGTTGGCAGTGTTACTGAGCAGCTGATGTCAGTCGCTAGGAAGATGCAGGCCAAAGATGTGCAGGAGGAGCAGAGGAATGCTTCGAAAGAAGCACAAGAAAGGAGCTGGCTGTGGACGCCGCAGCCCGAAAGTGCGGAATCTCCTTCTCCTGGAATTGCTCAGCCACCACAATCGGAGGAAGGTGAGTCGCGAACGTTTTTTCTAACGCATTTGTGGCCTTAAAGCCGTGGTACCACAGAGCTGAGGGCCCCCAAAAACTTGCCGATGGAAGTCGCTGAGAATACAACCGAGTAGTCTGGTATTATGACGAATCGAGCTCCTTTCCAGCGAAAACTGATAACTCTTCCTGGGATGATGTGCAGATAACTGGAACAAAGTGGCAATGGGAAGTGGAGGAAGATGAAGGGAAGGTAAGATGTCCCACGAAACAAGTTGCACATGTCTGCATATTTGTGTATATTGGTTTTTTTAGATGGTTTCTGAAACCGGCGGCGGCGACTGAAGCAGGTTCGAGTTGCTTGACCTATTTTATAAATTGCTAGTCTTCAATGGTAATGCGATGTTTTTTTTGTTTAGCCTTTTAGAACGTTTCATATTGTTAATTTTACATCTTCTTCTAGTTTTGATGTTCACTGTCCGGTTCTGGAAGAATTCATTAGAGCGATTTAGGAGCCGCTGGATCCTCTGCGCCTGCAATCCTACAGACAGCTCCAATGAAATCGGAAAAACTGAGCCCCGGTATAGCTGAGCCGTCACCTTCTCCAACAATGCAGCAACCGCTTAAGAAGGTTCCGCGAACAATTGATTACCTTTCGAGTGAAAACGTGCATGAATCTGAAGAAACAGAGCCATGTGAGGCAAAGGCAGGAGAGAAAGATTTTGGAGGTGTGCTGCCGAAGATTCTGTGTTATAGACATTTCGAGTATGTCGTCGGGTTCGATTCAGGAGCGGCTGTACGCAGCGAGGCAGCGCAGGCACGTTTTTACTTTCGTTGGTCTCTTGATTTTTGTGTTGCCTATTTGTAGTTAGGTTTTTTGGTGTACATGATTTGGGTTCCTATCCATAATCCCAGGGGCGGTATTCAATCCTTCCAGGGGTTGGGGGACGGAAATCCCTTTAAATTTATTTGTTTTTAACGATGTAGTTTCTTCATTTTCCATGCATGCTTACTGTGACATACATACATACATTAAACCTAGGCCCTTTATCAGGACAATCCCAGTTGGGAAGACAGAGAATTTAAAGGATTTTCGTCCCCAACCCTGGGGGAAGGATGCATACCGCCCCAGGAGGGCGAATATAACGGGTATGCTTTGAGCACGTGTATCATCAGACTGTTGAAGGCGTCGCTCGAGACCTTACGTACTTTGGTTGAGAAAAAGCGACACTATTTATGAGACAACCTAATACATATTCGGTGGTTATTGCCTCTAAATACACAGGGGATGGGGAAAATACTTTGCTCATAGCACGTATCATAGACTGTTGTCGTACAGCGTGCCGTCGCTCAGAGAGACCTACCGTAATCGCTCCAGCTCGGAGCTGCTGCCAGATTTCTTGAATTGATAAATGTGTATAGTTTCCTTGAGAAAGTAGCTCTTACTAATAGATTTCTGCCGACCAGCATTCTGGACACCGGCGTAATGGCCCGGGATCCGTGAGGACCTCGTTAAGCTCGAACTTTGCATCATGACCCGTAGTAGACGTTGATGTCTGATATCGCCCGTGTAGAGGGCTGTTATTAACTTTTTATAGATTCGGATGTGATCTTTGATCACCATTTGGGTAGGTACGAGTTTAGAAAGTGTGATTAATTCGGTTTTATAAATGTAAAGAGAGAAATCTCCATTGGCTCCCCATGTAGAAATCGTTGACTAATTTTGATCGCTAATCGTTGCTGAACAACTGATCATTCTAGGACCCACCAGAAGTGCCGCAATTGAGGATCGGACTATCGCTCCCCTACCTGCACCAGAAGGGTCCAGCTTCGAAAATGCCGAATTGTCACCTTCCTCACAGATGCAGCGACCAACATCGAAAATCGTGTGGAGTTCTGCTAAGGTTGCAAAATCTAGCGAGTACGGTCATGAAGAAAATCAAGCTAAAAACGGGAAGGAACGCAAAGGCAGGAAGTTTTCCGATAAAATAGATCTCTCATCAAGAAAGAATGTGGAGAAACTGGAAGAGGTGAGCTTGAAGTATGGCGAAGCAAAACAGCGACCGGTAAGTCTTTTTTACTAATCACTTCTTGATTTCTCGCGACAATTTGCCATTCTGTTTTTTTTTTCAGTGGACTCCTTCATCGGATGAACCAGGTGCGAGATAGTGTTATTTTTTCGCCTACAGTGGTTTTGATACAGTTTCGAAGTTTTCCTCAGCTGTACTGACGTTTGTCTGAGTCGCGCACTGTTCAGAAAATTTCACTGACAGTGTGGATCGTTAGAAACTGTTGTAAATGGTACCAGTTGTTTCCAGAATTCAGTCCCCAACGAGCTGAACCGCCACCTCCTTCACATTTACAGACATCGACTCCAAAAGTTGTCTCTAAAGTTGTCGAGATTTCGGAGGTTAGTTATTAAGGGGATCGAAGGCGAGAAAGGAAGAGGGCGGAACTATCTCTCTTGATGATAGAATGAACAAAATCTCATGAAAAAAGACATAAGCAGGTGGGTGGTTGTGCTTTTTTCCAAATCCACACGTACGTCACAATTTTGTGTTGTGTGCAAATACAAATGAATTGGTGTTATACTTATTTTAATTTATTATTGTTTATTTTATTGTGGTTTTATTTGTTTGTTTGACTCGTGTAACGATATTTTTCAGGCTATTCCCGACAAGCTTGCAGGAAGTGGTCCAATTTTGAGTTGGTTTTTCTTTGTATTATGAGCCTTTCATTAGCCTTTGACAGTAGTTATCTCAAAAGATCTTACCTATCGTTTCCAGACACTGCTATAAGTTCTGTTGAAAAGGAGACTACTGCCACACTCACGAGATTCCAAAGATTTAGCGCTCCTACTTTATCTAATGGTACATCTTCTGAACGTGATGATTCCAGTGATGAGGGCGATCTGGAGATTTTGACCAGGTTCGAGGGCAGCTAATTCTCAAAATAATGATACTACCAGCTTGGCGCGTGTATTACGCGCGAATTCATAGTACGGATCAATCGCTTGTAGTTCCATCCATCTTTGGCATGCCTTGCTTTCCTCGAGTTCTTGGTCTCTCGTCCTTCGCTATGTTCTATGCTTTTTCCTCGCTTCATCTCTTCTCCTCCGCTAGCCTGTTTTCACTTTTTTTCTGGTCATGAGAACGTCTTGAAAAAGCTATCAAGTTTTGCAGTAGTAACATCCAGTTTGTGGGCAAGCTGCTTTCATTGAAGGCGGTGCTCTGCTCAGCTGTCGTATGCTCTAGAAGTTCGACCTTGTAATTCTTGTCACATTTTATAACGGTTTTTGTGCCAGGTTAATTCTCGTCCAGGGCGCGCCCATTACGAAAACGCTCCCAAGTGTGGTTCGTTTAGGCCGATGTCAGACTTTGCGAATCGAGCGATTCGCTAGCGTCCCGGTCGCGTCGCGGTCAACCGAATCGCTCTATTGGCTGGTACCGCAAGGCGACCGCGGAACGCTAGTGAGTCGCTCGATTCGCAAAGCCTGACATAGGCCTTAAGGGCACAGGCTACCAAGCCGTTCACGTTGTCCGCTTGGCTCATTCCATATGTCTTGCACGTTCCTTCCCATAACCCAAGAATCCCAAGCGTGACCTAGTTTTTCCGGGTAATTATTCACGAACTTCATAACAGACCCACGAACATGTATACGTAAGGGTGCGTCCTAGTTTGTGCCCGTCTTGGACTTTGAGTTGGACTAGATATGTATCGATTGCGCTGTCGTGCGATCGCATGATTCTAATTCACACTTGAACTCTAAACGAAAGGCAAGGCAGTCGCATGGTATGATCGCTTTGTAAGGCATATGCACAAGTACAGGCAGACTGCGCTTCACTATTATGCCAGATTGGTCTCCCGGCAGCCGCTGAAACCTCCCTCACTGCGGAGCTTGGCGTTCCTCCTTCACACCTTATCATCTCCTCCTCCCCGCACTTCTCTCCGGCTGCCACTGCAGCACTTTATGAAATACCGTTGGAGTCGTAGCCTGCAAGTCATGCGAGCACCGAGGTTTCGTTCGCGCGCTTGTTTATTTTATTAGCTGCTTTATCACTCACTTAATTTTGCGTACAGACAGACAGACATACTTACAACCGAACACCAGTTAGCATCTTATAAAATAGAAGTATATGTAGGGAAAAAGCTTTTGTGAGACTTCCTGGTTATCTTAGAAAGCTCTCCTTGAATTACAGAAAAGTACTGAAACTGTACAAAGCTGCGCGAACTTTCTCGAAAGAGCCACCGTTCCGAATCGAAAGTGTTGATTCGTTTGTGACGACGGCTATCGCTAATGGCGCTCGATTGCTGATCGTAAGACCGTTTTTGAGAGAGACATTTCTTCTTCTTTTTTTCTCTTTTTTTTGTTTTCGTTCCTTTTTTGTCTAATTTGATTTGGAGTGTAATGACAGCGATTGTAAACAGGAACAGAAACAAATTGTGAAGGAACTTGATGCAATTGCTGATTCCTACTGCCGGTGTACTGACGAGTGACAAGACGGGCTTCTAGTTGCTGAGATAAGAATTTTGCCTTGTAATAGTATCGCAGTCTTTTTAAAGATTTATTGGAAATTTGGAAATATTTAGTTTTTATTTTTCATTTTCTTTTATTTTGCATGCGTTAAACTAGCTCTTACTGAACAAATTCACTCAAAATACGCCTACATGGAGCGACATCCGCTGTTTGATGTTCTGGTGCACCTTTTAGAGAATTGGGATACGCGAAAATCTTCCAGTGATCTTGTTTTCACTCATTGGCTTTCCGAGAAAGGTCGAAGCTAAGAGTTTAAATTCAAAAAAGTGATTTACAATGATACATTTGATTTTTCGTAATGGTTGGCGCCAGACCCATCTAGGAAGGTGATAATGCTTTTTCGTACGTTGTCAAGCTTCATGTCGTTCTGTGGGTTAACTAACATTCAAATGCCACAAGAGGCGGCCGCGGTTGCGGCATCGTTATCATTGAGGCTGGTCATTGGGATTGGAGCAGCTGAAGCTAACCGTTTGGGAAACTCGTCCGCTCACGCCCTTCCTCCATCCCAAGATGAAAGAGAGAGTAGTGTCTCGTTCCGGGCGGGGCGTAGTCGGGAGTTTCTTTTGCCTTCTTTTCCTTTTCCAGACCACTCTCCACCTCTAGCTTCCTTACTGAATGCTTTATACACCCATTTTATCTCTAGTTTTGCCTTCATCTACGTGTAGTGGCACTGAAAATTGATATAGGGCGCTCATTTCTGATTCATCGGAAGCAAAAGACCAGATCGAACGGAGCAGTACCAAAACGCGCTGATTTATACCTAATCTAATCCTGAGAAGCTGAAACACAATGGGTTTGTTGAAAAATT